TAGTAGCTATCTGTCTACTAAGGAGCACATCAACGACATCTACCTAAGGGGAGTTCTAGTTCTAGTTTCTAGTTGATCTTTTTTCTCTTTTCTTACTGAAGTCCACTATGGATCTCTATCTCCTTTTCGTGTGCATGATCATACTCATCGCGGGATGTGCCTTTAGGTTCTTTACATTTCTGAGGGAATCAATTCTTGAATCTACTCAAACCAATCACAGGGCATTAGATGTCCTTTTAGAGGTCCAATAGAGGCCCTAGAGAGCAGGGGTTGCGGGTGTATGGTGCGAGGATGAGTGCCGTGTGATTGGTGATGGTGGGCCTCTCGTCAATGGCAGACGTACTTCTCTTAGCAAGATGTTAACCGTGTTGTACATCTGACGGGATCTAGTAAAGATTTAGCCATAGGTGAAAGTAAACTCTAATTAATGAAGTCGAAATACCTTGTTCAGGATCACTTCACTCATTTCCTACTTGACGATACTCAACGAGAACCGACGCTTTATTGCATGTCTGGTCTCACCACACTAGCCGTATATCCACGTAAAGGAAAACGGTATGTTCACGTCACAATTTGCCATTAAAATGCCACCAGCCCAACATAAAGGGTACAGGCTCAATCGCTATCAACTGCTATTACAACATTGATTCAAAGTGAATGCATGGCGCATCCCAAAAAGACTGTTTCGAGAAACATTCTTCATATTCTAACCTTTCCACTCACGTCTTGCGTTATTCATTAGATGAATCGATATTTTATTCTATAGTTTCAACCAATCCATCCACACTACATTTTTAATGGAAAAATAAAGCTTTCGACATTGATATGTTATTTGTCGGGATGCGCCATGTATTTCACTTCCACGCGGAATCTTAGTGGTATTTGGTCCACGTAATTACTTGCGGATCAGTTATGTAAAAGTCATCGCTTTGTCTTCACAGACATGTCTCGTACCAGCTAGCAGAGCTTCGAGTAGTATAAGGGGCCTGAAAGCGATTCCATACGAAACCTGCCTCAGTGTCACGCCTTTCAAAGGGCGCTGCGCCCTGATGCTTAAAGGCAGTGAAAACGATCGCTGGAGGGGGCGGAGCGGTTTCGGTTACATCGAAAGGCGTCATTGGTGGATCGTGCCCCTCTGCGAGCTGGGCGTGTGGCAGTTGTTTTAAAAAGCAAACAGTCCCAGCAGGGTGGGCGTGGTCGGAAACGGCTGCAATCCCCTCGGCCGATTCCCACTTCGGAGCTGTTCAGCCCCTAGTCAAGAACGTAAAGAAGTGTGACTGAACAAAAACTCACCTTGGAAAGCCGCTAGTAGGGAGCTGCTAAAGTGGCGTGTCGCAATCAGCCGAGGGATTGCGCCGTTTGCCGACGGCAACGCTCACCCCTGCTGGGACTGTTGCTTTAATGACGTAATACAGAACCGCTCGCGCCTTACTCACGTCCATTCATGCTCACTGATCTAAAACTCTACTTTACAACATGACAAAAAACGGCTGCACATTACCAACTTCCATTTAGGGTAGCCTCAATCTCTTTGGACTCCTCCTATGAAACTCGTCTGACTGCCGCTTGTCTGATGCGTGGTGTCGAAGGTGTCTACGTAACTGATGATAAAGAAGTCTTTCCAATCTACTTCTATCGGTACGTCGAACAATACGCGAGTGCTATCGATTTCCAATAATCCATCGATTTTCCATATTTACAGTCGACGCGGTTCTCCACCGTCATATCGGTGAGAATCAATCTATCGCACGAGTGTGACATTTCCGTTCCCTTTTTCTTCTGTTCCGCGAAGATTATTTTCTATCTTTATTCAGAACCCTGTGCAAAACTAGTTAAGGGGATATGCTCGATTTTTGAATACGGTAGGATCGCAATGTACGCAATACGTGTGAGAGGGAGAAACTTAGGGATGAATGAAAATCTGCTTACGCATTCTGAATTCTCCCCCTCCTCCTCTAAGCCTAATCATTATTTCATCATCTCGTGACGTCATTGCATACATTGCGCACTTACAGTACCCAAAAATCGAGCAACCCCCTGGACTAATTTTGCACCAGAACCCATGCACTTTCCCTTCGTTTCACCCTTAACAAGATTTCATTTATATCTATTGATCAATTTCTTATGCGCTTAATCCATTTTTCATTTGAACAGATTGAATACCTTGATGTGTAGCCAATCGATTTCCAGGGAAAAGCGATTCTTCGACGCTGGAAATCCCATATCGCTGCCTTCATTTGACCACTTAACGTCTATTCTCATGGAACACGATGGGATGGTATGTCTTATCTCTCGTAGCAAAATTTTTCAGAATACGAGGGTGTGGGTCCGATTTCTGTCCGGGGCGAAGCGTTTTATTCATCAGCCAGCATTATCCAGCGTGATGAAAGCTTTGCATAAAGGAGATAAGCATTCACTACTACAAGAGTGAGTGACACCAGGCGATATGACAAGTACTGGCGATGAGGTACGGTAGCTTACTGTAGTCACCAGCGAGGGGCCGGTGTCAGACATAGCGAATCTATACTCGTATGCTACAAGCGAATCCCTCGATGATAAGGCCGCTCGCCACTGTCCCACACTCTGAATCGCCGGCGTCTCGCTAGTACCCCGTGATTCGTTAGCCGTTCACCGGATTCGCTTTAACACCGGATCTAGGCCAGAATCAACTATGCTTTCCGTATCGGGCGATGGGAGCAGCAGAGCTGGTAGGCGGTCGGATGGCTTGCGTTTTGCAGAGAAGAGCTCACGAAACAACTGACCAGCAGCTTGTGCAGTGCACCGCTTCATATAGGGTACATTTGAAGTACCCTCTACTTACTCATGACCTCTTCTGAACATTCCACCCTTAGGTTGCCGGAAAAGGTTTGCCCTGTTTCTTTTCGAATTGGCCGACCTTCATGGATGCGCGGGAAAGGAATGTGTGAGGGGAGCGAAAAAATCCAAAAACGAAAGTTCCCATTTGAGTCGAGATTCCAAGACTAGCTCAAGTGTTGAGTTAGGCCGCTCATCTCATTGGTCGACCCTCCTTTTGATACGGCTGAGGCCGGAGAAGCCGACAATGCAGCGTGTGGCGCAGGACATCGTCGAGCATCGTCCCGCCCATGTGATCAGCCACACTCCAGTTGTGTTTTCCTAACATAATTATTTGTTTTCTACTTGCTGATCACCATTTACAACGTATACCCTCGGTTGGTGACCGTCTGACGCAATTACCCTCACCTAGGGAATGTGCCTTTCTACGGGCTTGCAAGGCGTATTTCTGAATGTGTGCTGTTTAGATTCTTGGCAGTGGCTCTGGTGGACTGCTTCACTTAGCGTTTGATCCAGAAAGGAAATACGATCACTTCATCATAGCCAGGTGTGCAGATTTTTCATGGAACTTTGGTTAGCGTATTGAGAACTTAGAAGACAAACGGTCTATTTGGACCGGGTTAACCCATTAGCTTCTTGCTCACAATTTATACTTTATGGTCCAATTATGCGTCTTTTACATGACTATCGAATAATAATCGGATACTATTCTCAAAAAAAAGGATTAGCGCCTTTCTAAGTCCAACGAGTGGGAGGCGGAGCTGATTCGGGTATGCCCTCGATGGAAGAGCATGAAAGAACACATCGAGCACACCGTCAGTGCGAGGGAGTGTTGTCGGACCGCTTAAGTTCTTTCACCACTTCTGACCACTTACCCCCTCCCGCTCAAATTTGCTCCGCCTCCAAACACAGCAACCACTGCCTTTAAGGTCGCTTTTTTCATGTGTAAGAACTACTTCTAATTTGGCGACAAAGTGACTCAGCGAAGGTTGTAGCTTGAAGGTTGTAGCATGGCTTGGCAGTGAGCACTCAAACGTCAAATGATTTCAGTCAAGGAGCAATCTTTTTTACAGCATGTGTACCTGCTCACTACTGATTTTTTACGATTTTCAGCAGTCTCATGGCTCATCCATTTTCTCACGGTCCCATAAATGATCTAAAGATTCTTTCAACAGAGGACACCTACCTAGCTCTACACTGTTCTGACACTGAAGTTGTGATATCGGAACGAGATCTTGGTATGTTACTTCTACTAGTTTACCTTGGTTATATTTACGTTCACTTAATCCTATGCCGCCCTTGTAATCTTTATTACTCCGATCACATTTTCACTTTTATTGCTTTTTTTATTTCTCCCACCTACATACTTTGTGAAACTGCTCACGATCGGATCGGCCTTATTCACCCCTCATTAAGCAGGAGATGCGAAGAAGAAAGCAAGCAAAAGAAAAAATATAAAATTTTGAAATCAAGGACCCCCCAGATTCTGAGGTCAACCGTAGTACGACGAAGAGATACAGTGCGGAGAGGAGTACGCAAGAGACTACGTCGTGTGAGAGGGTGCAGACACAGTGTAGACGGGAGTAAAACGATCGATTGACCAGATCTGAATTTGGTTGCGAACTTGTCACAGTTTTCGATTTCTTTCTACCCGTTTTAGGGGGTTTCTACCTTATCGGGGTAGGAACACTGAGATGAATCTCTATGATTGCAGATCGTTGGCATCGGGTCACCTATCACTCGGGTGGTGCTATTTGCCTTGCCAGTACGCCATTTTCCCTCGATCATCGTGGTGCATTTGCCGTCACCGGTAGTAAGACCTACGTACGAATCAAGGCGTTGCACTACACTGAAGGTAACTACTTCCTAAATCTAATAACTTGTTATGAGTATTTTTTTGAGATAACCTCGTCGGACTTGCACGATTTGGGACAATCTCGAGTGACCGACGAGAGCGGCAAAGATGTCGAGGTAAGCCCAAGCAGTTAGCCCAAATCTGCAGCCCCCTAATCGTGACTCTTTTAGGTACTCAATGTGAGTCTTGATCCAACTATGGAATGTCGCCCACTTCCCTGTAAACTACGATACTCAGTTGGATATGCCGATAAAGCGATCAGGTGAGTGCAAACATCGACTGCCTAGGAAAAGGATATCAGATGGTAATGCTCTAGGTATATGAGACGCCTTCAGAGCGCGAATTCTCCCAATATGTAGTTCTGTCGCCAGCGCCAGTACACGGAAGACACCGGTTGTCTTGTCACCGTGATCTTCAGTGTCAACGAAAACCGATTGGATGTCTTGAAACACATCTTTTTGATCCAAACTGAACATAATTTGCGAGTGTGTAGTTCAGAAGGGTGGAAAATTTTAGGCCAGTTTCAGACTTTTCGAATCGAGTGATTCGAGCGATTCGCTATTCGCAAAGTCTGACAACAGCCGGTTTTGGCCTTGAGCCATCTTGTAGAAAAAGGAACACAAAACTTACAGATAAAAGAAAGGAAATAAGTTGACCGAATGATACTTTTCTGAGTTCTTTACAAATACTGACAGTAAGGCCCTTGTCAGACTTTGCGAATCGCGCGATTCGCTAGCGTCCGCAGTCGCGTTGCGGTACCAGCCAATTGAGTGATTCACTGGCCGCTACCGGCGCAAGACCTAACGAATCGCGCGATTCGCAAAGTCTGACATCGGCCTAAGCTCGGCAATACTCTTTGGTTCTTGCGCACTCCTAATTCATAGATGCTCAATGAAACTCGCTGTTTGGAAGGAAGAACTGCAAAACACTAAGTACTTCTTGGACGCGTGCCGTTGCGGAGCGGTAGGAGACCTATTCCTGTTCTTTTATAAAGTCTTCTCACAATCTGGTCAGTCAGACCACTTACTAGACAATACCTCGAACCTGTATGTGAGGACTCCCAAATACAGTTCCTGTATATTCTGGAATAGTCAAACTCTCGCTATTTGAAAAGAAAGCTTATACTGAAATGATTCCTACTTTTCAGGACCTATGTTGCTCTACTGACTGGGCAGCACGAATTCACCGTGTCAGAAAAGTTTATTGCTCAAATCGAACCTCTTCATTGTGTTTCACTGGTACATTTTTCCATAGATTTGAAGTCTACGAGAATTCTCTAAAGAACTATAATTCAGATGATCTGTTTCCATGGACGTCCGATGGGGTGCTATGCGGCCAGTGGAAAAACCTTACAAGTTTGGAATGATCTTGATCGCCATCAGCAGAAGAAAAATGAAAGTGAACGGATGGAGCTGAAGAAGGTACGAGTCGGCATGTACCTGTGAGCTGGGACCTATCATAACAGCCATTCCTGGTTCCGGTCTCCGTCCAATTTCCCGGGAATATTTATGGCTAAAAGTTACTTGAACAAATACTGGCTACCTTTGTGCAACGCATGAACATTCAATCACTTCTACGACCAACCCGGGAAAAGGCGCGGCGCGAACCAAAATTTGTAGTTTATCATTTCAACTAAGAAACCTAGTGAATTTTTCAGATGGAGGTGGCAATTTCATCAATGGCTCGAGTTGAGGGTCGTTCCTGTTACCTTCTGCTCGGCTACAAAGACAGCCGAGTACAGATTTTTGAAGAGCGCGGTAAAGGGACCGGTAAACTTGACTCGATTGGCTGGATCGATGAATGCCATCCAAACAGCGACATTCGGCCCGTTACCGGTTCGTTTACCGTTTTTGGTTCAGTTTTCGAGTCAGAAAAAAGCCAGAAAGGGAAGTTCAGTATTAGGTTGCTGAAGAGATTTATTGATATTTGAATATCACAATAACAAAAAAAGGCAACTACATTGAATTCAAGTGTATGTAGTTAAATGAAGTACCTTTTGGCTTTCAGGCCTCTTAGTGAAAAAATTGAGCAAAAGCCTCAGCAAACGTTGGAAAAGTTAATATGGATGATTTATAGTTCTTCGAGCCCGTGTTGATCCACTTTCGTCCGGCGATCGGCTTTTCATACTTTCAATGGCCGGCCCATCCATATTCATTCATTCTGCGCTGATAGAAGCCGGAAAACTGGTCGAGGTAGGACAGAATAGATAAAGTGCTTCAAAATCACTCTATATTTCGGAAATGGTACGACAATAAACGTTTTTTCAGCTCATCTTTGTTCTAGCCACTGAACATGAAATGGCTAGCCCTCGGTCGTTCGAGATGCTCGATTCCAGGTCACCACTTTCTTACCCTATTTTTGATCCTTTTTTTCCTCTACAATCTTAACTTCTATGTAGTGAGTCCTTTTGCGTCGTGACCACAAGAATTTTCAAAAA